CCGTATTTTGTCATAAAGTACTGCAGCGAAAATTTCCAAATTAGAACCACCAACTGGATAGGTGCGCTGAATAAACCCGGTATCATAAATCATTTTCTACTGCAAACATGCATACAAATCAAATTTATTAACTACAAATTGTGACTCCACAGGGCGGCCAGATATATTTTATTGGGTTAGTAGCTTTATCATGTTTCACCTCAATATCTATTCTAAAATACACCCAACAAAGTTAAATAGCCTGAATCCCCAATGTTTACTATGTTGGTAATCATGATGTTACTGTACACTGATTCAAAATGATTAAGAAACTTTTCCTACCAAAGCCATATTCCATTATTTTTTTGTAGGCTTAGTCGCAAGCAATAAACTTTGTTAACCAATAAGAATATATACATTCACATCACATCAAACGTTCTTGGTGTCCAAAATTGAAGTCCTGTCACGCGGAGTGAAAGTTTTTAACAGTGGTGTCCATCACACTAAATACCTGATTTACGCCATCAACATTAGCCAGCCTTGCCCGTGTAGAGGGCCTCAGTGATGTTATTCTTCTCAAGGTTTGATCACCACATAATGCATAACTGAAAGCAAAAAAAAACAACATTAATTAATAAACAAACACACATACACACGGTAAGAAAAAGTTACTTCTGATCACCAGATGAATTTATTTCAACTATGACTGACACAACAAATGCTAAATTAGGGGAACAAAATGGGACTCACGGAGCAGTTCCATGGTTTCTTGCAAGCTTCCTTCGCTCTTCAACAAGCAATTTGTAAAGCTGATCCTCAACCTAAACTCATAAATATCGAACATAAACGACGGTGAGATAAAATTATCGAGATAAAAGGAGAGCAATTTTGCAATTTAACCATAAATTACGTCTGACATAATGCTTAGACTTTATAAAAGCACTCGCACCTGAGATAATCCATCAGATTCAGCCTGTGGCAAACCATTGACAACTCCATAACCAACTGCATCTTTGCTTGTATTGTCAATCTCCAGGTCTGGAGTCAGGATCAGATATAAAGGAGGCTGATAATCAGGACTACAGGAATTCAAAAATTTCATCCCTTTTGGACCAACTCTGGTACACAAAGAACAAATGTCTCGTTCAGTATTCGTTTGCACTGGAAACTGGCAATGGACAAATACGACACTTGGGATGGGAATTGGTGGGGGGGGGGGGGGGGGAGTAGTCTACCTTACAGTTTTGTATATATCTTTGAAGGTCTCTGTCAGATAATCTGCAACAAATTGAAAGTTGTGCAGAATGCCAATCAAAGGAAGTTAAAACAAAATTAGGATAAACTGTTACACCTTTTGACACTAAATCCAAAAAAAAAAAAAAA